AGATGATCCTTGAGGTCCTTTCTAACCTGGCACTCTGTGATTCTATGATCCTCAACCATGCTGGCTTATGGCTCTGGCCACAGTGGTCCGCACTCTCTGCTGGTGTGAGTGGCTGCCAGCTTGTGCAAGGGGCTGGGGAATGCAGTCAAAAGGGGATCACCGGAGGGGAAGTTTACCCAGCAGTTGTCCCCCCCTGTAAATGTTCCTCCCTCTTCAGGAGTGTGGTAGCTCCTCTAATAGATGTCTCCATCTTGATGTGGGGCAGATAACCTGCCCTCGCACCTTTAGCCCGCAAGTATCGCCTTGCCCATGCTAAGATGCCTGCCCCGCACTACTCAGGTGCCTCTCTGGGTAAAGCATCTTCCAGCAAAGCAGGGTACAAAAGTCACCCAATCTTGAGATGGAGTAGCTTCTCACTGGCACGAGCACTCAGGAGACAGGGAAAAAGGCAAACAGGGAGAGGACAACCAGGCCCCGCGAATGAGAAACGCAGGGTTAGAGCCTGTTTTTAGCAAGACAGAGATGCAAACCCGCAGCACGTCTTCTGCCCCCCTCCCGGCTCTCGGTGCTGGGCTGAACAAGGCAATCACGACGCTGCCTGGCAGCTTGTTGGTCCACGGGATCAGCTGCTCGGCAGCAGGCGGCAACGGTGGCATCGGCTGACGAGCGAGGAGAGGCCACGAGGCAGTACAGAAGTAGAGGATTTGTGTTAAGGCTTCGGGACTGTCTTAAATCTCCGACATCTGCCAATTTAAGTACAGCTGAATTGCTGGATAATTCTGCTGGTGGCGCTCCTGGGAACACCCAGCCCGAGCAGAACAATTTTGAAGGAAATTACATGAGCTGGGATTTAGTGTTGTCTCTTTAGCTTGTGGAAGAGATAATCTGGCCCATTTAATGTGGAACAAAATTTGCTCTGTTTCACAGGCGTAAGGAGATAGTTTTGCCTTGAGAAAGCAGCAGTAAATGACTCTGAAGTCCTGCTGTCACTCGTTCGCTGAGCTGCTGTAATATGGAGTGGCAAGGGCTGTTTTCTTGGGCCGCTTTCTACATATAAGTAACACCCTTTATAAAGAACACCACTTAGTCTTATGACAAAATTCCTCTAGTGTGACACAGAAGAGCATTGACATCATTATTGAAGGCTGGAGAATTTATGGCACAGGTAATTATTAATTTGGCTGGCATTTGTAAAGTAGAAGGGAGTTCTTGTGCTTTTAGGCCATGCTCTCAGTGTGTAAATCTCTTGTATGGCTGCAATAATAATATTCCTGCAGCTATGTTGTCACCTATTGTAATTTTTCTGCTAATAAGAAAATTTAAACTAACCAGGAATCCTAAATTTGGAGACTAGTTGTTTATTTCAAACATACTCTAGAGAAATAATAATGCAGTTCTGCTCTGAATTTAATTTAAACAAGAACAGGCAAAACAAATCTCTGCGGAGGGCATTTGACAATAATAAAATATTTCTCCCAGCGGGTGAGCTGGTAGCAATTGTATTGTTGCCATCAAAGCTCACGTTTCAGCAGGTCATTACCATCATAACAAGCCCTTGGACCAACTGGCATGGACATGCAACATTGAGCTCCTGATGGGCACATTATTTCAGACCTTTAACTTCATGGAGAACAAGACAAATACTCCTGGGAACGGAGGATTATATTTTGAAATTCCTTTCTTTTCTGTTCTGCTTAATAATAAGAGCCTGCGTGTAATCAATCTACCGCCACTTGCTTTTTTATATTAACGGAGATTGCAAGGAGCCAGGCTTGGGAATCTGAACACTAAGGAAGTGCGGCCTTTAGTCTTAACAAAATACTAACAATTAGCATGGCTGGGATGTGGTAACACGAACACTTTTGAACACTTGTGAATAAAAATATTAAAAGCAAATAAATGCACCCATATTCTTTTCTAGACATTTTTTTTCCCGTCTTCTCCTTTAATAGCAACCACAAGGAGGAAGTTTGTGATCTGTATGTTAGAGACAATCTATACACACAGAATCAGCATCTTATCAGACAGGAAAAACACACTCCTTGGAAGGCAGCTACAGCAGTTAGGCTGTATAACGAAGGATATAGTAATTAGCAAAGTGCCATGTGAAATCAGAGACCTACATTACACAAGAGAGATGAAATGCAAAGTAAAGGAAAGGTGCAAGTAAAAAAAAGCTGCTAAGGAAAATAAACAAAGGCTGTGGAAAAAAAATCAGAAAACAGATGGAAGCCGTCCCATTCCTGAGTTTAGTACAGGAGCCAGGACAGGTAATGTTAAAAAAAAAACTAAAAAGAGGTGTTTTCTGCTGCAAAAGCTTGTACACAAAAAGTCTCAGGTGTTTTTGTGCTTAGTGTTATTTTTTTTTTTTTCTGGTAGGGTATTACTGGACAATGCTGCAGGAGGACACTGGAAGACGTACAGCATGAGGGCTCGTCCTACTAAGGATGGTATTTCTCTCTCTGTTAACTTTTAGAATCTATCTTGGTTATGTTTTGGTGGTTTGGTTCATTATTTTTTTTACATATTTAACCATTGCTAGTATTTCAGCAGCACTGGCATTGTGTATTAAGAAGCACACATAACTGCATGTGTAATAGCACTGACTGGTTCATGATTTTCGTGCCATTGCTTTCTCCAAGAAAGGCTCCACTGGAGGGACCACACCAGGCTACTTTTTATTGGGGTTTGCCAGACCTTTGCACACTGTGAACTCACAAGTTCGAGAAACCACCACCAACCAACCCAAAAGCCTGAACGGCATCAAGTGAGACGATTACTTGGATGCGAAGCTCCAAAGAAATGTCGGAGCCCACCAGAAACCCCGTGCCAGTTAGCAGCCAGCTCAGCAAGCGGCGCCTTTTCCTCTTGCATCAGTACAGCCGGCACCGGCCAGCTTGGGAGCGGGAGGGCTGCTGGTGTGAGCGTGGCAGGAGCAGTGGGAGGGGTAAAGGCTGTCAAACAAGCACCCACGGTGGCAAAACCATGCTCTTCCCCTGGGATGGCTTCTTTTATCGGGGAGGGGAAGCGGGGGAGGGGGAGGGGGTTGTAAACAATGTCAGTCAAAATCTAGTTTCGCTGACCTCAGCCATACCCACCACGGGAAGACTCTGTCAGTTTGCCATCTCCTTATTTTAGGTACGTGGTGTTGCTGCAGCCACAGGCAGGGGCTGCAACACTTCGGAGCTGGAGCAGGACGTGTTGGTCGAGCTACAAATGCCAGTGCCCCAAGCCCTTTTTTCATTTTCCTTGAAGATTTAGTAGCTATTTTCAAAGTTTAGAGAGGTTTGTGCTCCTCGCCAAATTCCCCACAGATACCTACTGAAACATTTCTGCCTACCGAAACACTTCTGATAGATTTCTGTGCCCTTCTGGCTTTGCTGCAGAGACAGTGGTGGGAGAAGACAAGAGGAAAAAAGCCAAAACAACTCTGCAGTTGCATCCCTAGAAGTGGCTTCGTCTCAGTGTCCCCTGTATTTTCTCTTCTGTCGTGCCAAATTTATGATTGTATGGTGCTTCATGATCCTCCCATGACAAATGGTACAGAAATACTAATTATGGTTTTTAAATTGTATCTGAAAACTTAACTGGTGATTGGGGACAACCACGTGTTGAAGACGACTAGGAGTACCACTGCTTAAATTGTTTTTTTTCCCCTTTGTGTATGAAAATTTGTAACGCTGCTTTTTTTCACTATGAAGTTCTGGTGCAGTCCTATGCTTTCCTTTGAGGAGGTACTTTGCCATAATTGAAAATCAGAACACTAAGAAGGGGTAGAAAACCAGTTCTGTGAAGGCGTACGTATGTGCGACATATGTATGCCTGTGTACACAGCAGCGTCAACGCTGAAAACCGGTTCTGACCTCCTTTGAAAAGTCTACACAGGGTTCATCTTTCTATTGTCCTGCTGCTCCTTTGACTCAAAAAACCCCAACCTCCTACTTGCTAGGGGAGTCGCAATACAGAAGGTACTGGTAGCAGGGAAGAGGTGCCCTCCCATTTCAAGGCACACTGCCGCTGGAAGGCTACGAAGCACAAAAAGCTACTGGAAGACTGCGAAGCACAAACAGCCGCTGGCGCTGCCCCGGCTGCAACAACCCCCGTCCCCGAGCACCTGCGTTCTGATCAGCAGCCCTTGTGCCGGCAGCCAGAACCTCCAGAGGACCGCCAGCAGCGAAGGTGAGAAATCACGTTGGCAAACAGAATGACAAAATACTATCGAGGTAGGCTAAAAAGCAAGAAAAGCACACATTAGCACGTCTGTGATGGCTCCAGAAGGGTCCGCAGGCAAGAGGGGCCGACCCTGCGCCTGCCGGCGGCGAGGGGCCGAGGGGCCGCTCAGCGCCCCTGCGCAGCCCGGCACTTAAACCCCCCGGCATCTCCACGAGTTACCAGTGCTCTTCGTTAACACCAAGCCAGATTATTGCTCCGGTGGCTATTACTTCCATTCAGAAAAGCTGGATCATATAATACAGTTGTTTTTTTTTTTTTTTTTTTAATTTTTTTTTTTTTTTATTTTTACCCAGAACACACAAAAGGAGTCTCCTGCAGTAGGAAATGAATGATCGACTCGGTTGTTGATGGAGAAAGCAAATAAGTACTTCTAGATGATATTAATGTGATCTTAAAATAGTGGGAAAGTTTTCTTTTATGACATTGACAGAGAGGCAATGATTTTGAGTAATGCAGGTTGATGTGAAGATGCTTTAAGATTAAATAAGTGCTATATAAAGGCCTGCCAGCCTGAATTCTAATGTGCTATGAGACATTTTGCATATTTAAGAGTATGCAAAATGTCTTTTACCACACTGGAATTCATTCTGACAAGGCTTTATATAGCATTTATTTACACTCATATTGTACTTTAAGGGAGAGGTGATGACGCTGGCTCCTCTTTGAATGGAAGTAACAAAAGGTAATGCTAATTCCTGTTTCCTTCTCCGAAAAAGAAAATAAAACCAAAAAAAACCCACAACACAAAAAATAAAATAAAAGCAATCAAAAGTGGAAGCTTGTTTAATATTGCTCTACCATCATCCTGAAAGGCATAATAATTTGAGTTACACATCTGAACTGATTGGAGTTACAGAATCATATCTCCTTTTTGCATTTAACAATATATACAATATAAAATAAATACATTTACACAAATGGACATTGGTTGGAGCACACGGTATGATACACATCACAAAAATATACAGTTGATTGCTATACAGATGTGAAGCCCATCTACAGCTATAGACATGTTTGTTTTTATTTGTTGTTTTGTTTCGTTTTTTAACTACTGGCTATTATGCAACTCCTGGATTATTATAAGCAGTTTAATTTTTTTTGTCCTTTTGCGATCTTTGCACGATAAGACTGCCATAAAATGTTTTCCTAGGCAGGTAAACAGAGACGCTTAAATAATTAAAATACAATCACCAACACCCATTTTCTCTTCTATAAGAAAAATAGCAGTTTTAATTTTTTATATCTTTTTATGTTATCATTTAAATGCAAAATAGTGGAATAAATACAACAATCTGATCTGATTGAAACAAATGTGTAACTTCTGGGAGTTACACAATCATATTGCTTTAAATAAGAAAAAATTAAAAAATGAAGCAAAAATAGAAATTAAATCGTTATGGCTAAAACATACACCCTTTGAAATTTTCCCAACACTTCACATTAAGTAAGTGGTCTTGAAAGAACTCTTCTCCAGCAAGGTTTAAGATGAACAACATTATAAAGCCCGTGCAGTTCTTTTAGCTATGTTTCAGGTAATGCTTTTACAGTCTTGAGATACTTGTTCTTTTGCAGCTCCAAAAAATTACGGAAAATGAAAACTAAAGATTGCACCGTGTGCCTTTAACACATCTCCATTTTTTGTGTGTTTTTGTATATTTCTAGTCGATCGGCTTTTGACCCTGAAGCCCAAGTTCTTTAATGTGATACAGCAAAAACAATATTTATATTATATATTTATATATATATAGTGTACTTGAACAGTAGCAACTTAAACCCTGCACAAACTTTCTGGAAAATAAACTTTTTTTTGCACTCTTACATATATAAATAATCTTATAGAATCAGCACCTTTTTCCCAGGAGTTGTATTATTTTTTTTTTTTGACATTTTTCAAAAGGGATGTGCCAATTTCTGAACTCCTATCACAGCTATAAATTTCAAGTTATTGACCATCTGAATGAATTGCTAATGATGATTTACCTAGAATCACACTACAGTCACTTCTCTACTGAGAAAACACAATCTACAATATAGTCCCATATAGCTAATGATAGATACACATTTTTTTTTTTTTTTCCTAGCACGAGGCTGATGGAGCATCAGCCCATTGTTATTTTGTTTAAAGCACACAACGTAGCAATAGTTTTGGAAACTTGTCTGCACCAAAAAAGTTTTGCAACAACACAGAGCGAGTTAATAACAACATCTGAGAGATGATTGAATAAAAGCTATATTTACAGCATTTAAAAATTAGACTTATCTATAATCTTGAAATATTCAAAGTTTTATTTCTAAGCTATACATTGGTATTCTATAATAAACTGTTACAGAAATTATCCCTTGTTTTGAAAATATTATGATTTCAGTGTGTATCTGTTCATAACGAGTATTTGTTTGGAGTTTCGATCTCTTAATTATTACTAGGAAGAACCTTATTACCGGTAAGGAATAGAATATACTACTGTAATCTCCTGAGGAATTGTACATCCAATATTGTCTCTAATTCTACCCTGTGTCTATAAGCACACACCACAAGAATCCAAACACCACAAGAAGAACAAGACAACAGTCTTTGAATGCAACATAAAAATTCAGAAAAGCACAGCAAACATGAAACACTGAAAAGCTGAACTACATTTCTTTTGTTTGTTAGGATTACAATTTTAATTACATCTGTGTACATAGAATAAGGATGTTCACATAGTACAGGGAGCAGCTACTAACACTGGTACATTGGTATAGCATTTGATGGAGGTTATTGTTTATTGGTTATTTAGCGACTGTAGTTTTCTGGGGGCATCTAATCAGTTTATACATTAGATTACACCTCGTAACAGTCTTGAAACTGACTGACTTTCATGCTGTGACAATACTGGTTGAAAAGCACATATACTGGTTTAGCTACTTGTTAAAGATTGCCATTTACAAAATAAAATCTAAATCAATAAATAAGGTATAGAAGTGTTAAATTCTTCAATTTGGTCAGAATTCTACTACTCTGATTTCTTAATTTTGCAAACATCGGCATTTGCCTTATTGCCTCTAAGCTACTATTGGTTCATAGGGTTTTTCTGCGTGTGAGGTTATAATTTTGCAAACAGGCAGTATCTCGTTCATTTGCAACTGAAGCAGTTAGAAATCACATAGCAACTATACCTTTGTACAGTCGCTGTCTCCTAACACCGTTACAGATTGGTATTTGACATGGAGTATTTATATGTTAGACTACTCGTATATACTGTAGGTGTAATCTAATCCTTTGAGTCAGTGAACATTTAGTTATAAACTGGAGCTCATGTTAAGAAACTGGATGTTTTGGACCAGACTGGCACACAACATAAATTGCATCCGTGATAATATGCACCTTCCCTTTGACTATTGCTTTAGTAAGATAAATTCCCACATTAATAAATGGCTGAAAACTGGTAAAGCTGGTACAAAAAAATCTCCGTTAGTAAGAAGAAACAAAACATTTAAAAAAATCTTCCTTCAGGATTCATTTGTCCTTCATTATTGTTCATCATTGTTCAAGCCAGCACAAAAATGCAGTATTTCTTTCTCTTTAGTATTGCATGAATGAATAAAGCTTAAACTATTCCCTGAAAAAGTTACATTGTAGCTAACCTAAGAAATATCTGGAAGACTTGAAAAAACAATTAAGGAATCAAATGGCTGTAACTGATCTAGATGGAAAATGCAATGATAAGAAGCAGCCGATGCATCGTCGCTTAGTCGTCTAATTAGAGACTGCTCCTATGAAATCTAATACTGCATTCAGTCAGTTCATCGTGTTGTACTGTACTGCTAGGTACGGTGGTTCTCTCTTTGATTCCTTTGTCATTGGGGACATTATGGTTCATAATAAGTTCACTGGCATCCATATTATGGATTTCCATCCTTTGGCAGGCCTGGCTTCCATCTCTCTTCAATTAGAGACCTCTTTTAAAAAGTTCAGCAGCAAAGAAAAAAAGAGAAAAGGAAAAAGGAAAGGAGAGAACAGAAAGGAAAAGAGAGAAAAGGAAAAGGAAAAGAAAAACTGCATCAGAAAGACACAGAAGAAAAAGTTGAAAGCTGCTTCACAGTCTTGCTGCTAAATATCAGTGCAGTCATTTTTTCCTTAATTAAACACTAAGTTTCTTTGCAATTATTATCCTGTTTATTTTCCCTTTTTTTTTTTTTTTTTTTTTTTTTTTTTTTTTAAAACGTGCATGATGGGGAAGCCCATGATGCTTTAGTCAGACCTTGGCCTCCAGCATTTCCAAAAAAAGTTTGTGCATGGGGACTTTGCCTTCCAGTTTGATGTTGTAGAAATGCTGCACAGCCTTGGTGGAGGTTTGCCTCAGAAGCGGGAGAGTCATCAACATCTTGCCTGCGCGACGTGGGTCTTCCATGTGCTGCCCGGCCTCATAATCCTGCAGAGCCTCATGTAAAACGTCCTGAAGTTTCTGCACTGCCTCAACGTCCTCTATGTGCATTGAGTCTGCAAAACAAAGGAGCAACAGGAGGTTTCAGTTTGGTGTGCCAAAAGTCAGATAACACTATGGGTGCACGACACTGTCACTGGTTCTATCCATCCTCTTTCACAAAGAAGGAAGATGATTACCTACTAATTTCTATATTGACCTTCAGGAAAATATCTGGAACAGCTGTGGAACTGCAAATGTATCATTAGCTCTTGTGTAAGTAATCCTTCTCCTCACCCTCCTCAAACAAGTAATACAGTGACCCTCACTGCTCCATAAACCCCCTCTTTGCTTTGAAGAAATGACAGCGCCAAAGGGCTGCATGAGTTGCGGTCTGCATTTTGTCGGGGAAGAAAGAATGACTGCCCTGCTAGGGAAAAGCTCGGAAAAATTCTGTGTCAGGCTCCAAGGTTATAGAGTTGGAAGCCATGGTCGCTACCCAGTGCTCAGAGATGCTAACTGCAGGATTAGGACCACTGCACTGACACAAGGGAAAAGCAGATTCAATGTGATTTCCTGATAGGTTTAGCAATCTTTTTTCTCCCTCAGGCACATCCAGACAGACAGGCAACACCTAGGATGTTCCTAAATAGCTTTTGTTCTGTGAAGCTAACATCTCCTACAAGGTGTAATCCTCCTCTCCCACCCACTCAGAAGGTGGTTTATCTTGTTATTGTTGGGGTTTTGCATTTTTTCTAAATCACTCAAAGCAAGCACCTCACCCTGTACCTTTCCAGGTGAGATGTTTTGGCGGTGTAAGTATTGAGTGACAACAAGCCAAGACACAATGCACACCAGGAACTAAACTAAACTGCTATGTGACCTGGAAAGATTAAAGCAATGGAAGTGTGAAATAAAAAGAAAAGATCTTACTGAAATAACTGTAAAAACCCTCAACAGCATAGATCCAGAAAGGGAAGACATCCCTGAGAACACGCAGTTAGTGGACCACACGGAGATGACTTTGGACAAGCAGCCCTAATTCTCTTATGTAGTCATAAATGCCAAAACAACCCTGATGTGGTCCAAAGTGGGGTGAATGCAAGTAAGGAAGAACAGCCATAAGTGAAAGAGGCCACCAAACAGCCCTATCAGCTAATGTGGATGGTCGACACTTACAGAGCCGATAAAACACCATATGAAAATAGAACTGCTGTGACGGGGTACAAGTCCTAGGGACAGGCTACACTGTGCAAGCTTAGCTCAGGGTGGAACTGGGACGTGGCATTATGAAAGTATATCCTTGAAAACTCCAGTTAGTACACTGCTGCTTTGCACCTTAGTGTTGGGGTTTGGAATAAAGCCCCTGTTCCCAGAGAGAATAATGTGTGAGGAGCTGGATGGTGAAGAACCCACTTCTATCATCATTTCCAAGCCCTGTATTAAGAAGTCTGATGCCCTAGATCAGTATTTCGACAGAGCCTCATGTTTTACTCTGTTGATAACAACATCAATTTTTGCACGTGCTTCAAATATCGGAATTACATCCACAGAATTAAGATGCATCTAAGATTCATTTCCTAAAAGCTGATGTGCAACTGTTTCCTCAGATAATTAGGAGAGTAGTAAATATCTCTCTCTTTTCAAACACAAACATATAAACTAAAACACGAACCAGTAAGTAACAGGTTAACAAAACTGTTCCAGCTTCTATTGTCAAAACAAATGTGCAAATTGAAAAGAAAAAAAAATAAAAGTTACAGCTCCTGCTCTAAAACAGACACTTAATTATATACAAGTTTGGATCATTTAGCACGTTTTATTGATTCTGATGACAGTTTATCTGTTAATTACACATAATGGAGTCCTATGGGAATTTTACATGTTTAATAATTCTGAGTCTTAGCGAATACATGCTCTAAGAAGCATGCAGTTAAGACATATGCTGCAGGGATGTGATACTGCACATCAAGGTGCACTGTGCTGAAAGCAGAGAAACACAAAAATATCCCTCTTAGGGAAAAAGAAGGCTATAACATTTTAAAAAGATGACAGGGAAATACTACCTCTAGCAAAATTTTATTTTAATTAACATGAGACCATTCCCCAAATCCATACATTTTTGATAGTTTTCTAATACAGCAATTCTATTAAATAATTCTGTGTCAATAAAGGAAAAGCCCTGAATTCTGTGTCCTACAAACAGATGTAATTGATACAGACATGCTAACACACACATACAAACGTGACTGATGTCTTAAGCATAGTGTCCAGCCACCAGGCTTAATTTGGAATGCAAACTCCAAACAAATTGTTGTCTTTACTCCCTGACTCTTTACCAAGTCCTTGGATATTCACTGTTGTGCTAAAGAACACACGATACGCTACTCTAAATAATTTTTCCATAAACCATGCACAGTTTGTGCAGAAATTACACATCTTTTTCTCCTTTCCCCAGACCCACAGTGCCAGGGACAGATTTGCTGGGGAACCAAACAGGAGCACTTTATCAGAAACAAATGCCTGGCGAGTGAAAGGCTGACTGCTCTTGTGATCTTTTTTTTTTTTTTTTCACACCGTATTGCATAAAGAGACAAGTCTTTCTGGAGAACCTGACTATAAATGTTTCTTTTTTAACCCTGTACAAAACCAGTCAGATTCTTTCCAGAATCATTATTTGTAACTGTAACTATATTTGAATTTGAAAATCGATGGATGGAGTCCAGACTAATATATTTTTCAGACAGAGATGAAACTTTCCTGAGATCTTTAGCTCTGCAGTTTGGATAAGCAGTTTGGCCTGCAGCATGAGGAATATCTATGCTCTACATATTTCTTACACAGAAACTGGGTGAGGGGGGAAAAGAGGAAGAGAACACTCCCAGAAAGTTCAGGAACAGAAGGTGAATCAAAACGTGCCCTCTGATACAGCTATTACACACCTTGCTCTCAAACTCTTCCACTGTGTGGACAACATCTTAAAACAAGACATCTTATCCTCTCCTTGCAGAGGTTGATTGTATACCATCCCTCCGGTACACAGAGCAATTGCTTACATGGAAAAGTAATAGTAGTAAAGCGTTTAATGTATTTGTTGCTGTCTTTGAAATCAATTTAGTAGCTGGGAAGAACGTGACCAGCCAGCTCTCCACTGGCCTAGTGCAAGCGCTCCGCTGCCGAGCAGTGGTTCACGGAGCAGTTTGGGAAGCTGTGCCTTGGGAAACACGAAATAGGGTAAGACAAAATAGCAGAGAGAGGGGCACTCCCATGCAGTGATTAAGACTTCAAACTGTTCTCTTAAAATGGCGATTTAGCTTGAAAGATTTAAAAATGATTTAATAAATTACTATGATAATTTAACTTCCCATTTACAGAAAAGATTCAAACTCATTTCAGCTTTACCCATTCTAGGGTCTGCTAATTTTAAAATGCAAACTCACTAAGTCGATGCTATTAAAGTAGACATTGATTCAGCTTGCAGATTGCTCATGAAAATATTAATCTCTACAAAGATCCTTCTTCAAGTTTTAGCCTTGCAGTCTGGAACTTCCTCTTTATTCCCGATATTAAACGAATGTAGATCTTAATCCCTCAGGTGTAAGCCTTTGAAAACAAGGAAAATGGTTGAAAATGCTGAACTAGCCAAGGGGAAAAGAGGAGGAAAAATAAAAGAAAAGAGAAATCTTTTCAGTAACTACAGACTGGCAGATGTAGAAGTGAATTCAGAGCAGGTTAACTTATTGCTAATAAACCCAATCCTCACTAGTAAGAGAGGGCAATGTCAACAAGAACCACTATAATTTAAGGAAATGCAGAGTCTGTGTGGTAATCCAGAAATAAATAATTCCACGGACCATGTGAAATTGAATTGTAAGTTAGGCACAAAGATTTTGAATGTTCTTCCTATACCAAGAAAATCCCTTTTTTGGTTTTGTTTTTTTTTTTTTTTTTTCAAGTGGCTTTGTAGACAGTCTGCATAATTTACAATTATATCCTACACAGGTAATATCCAGAGGAAACCTATACCCAGATGTAGTACACTTAAAATCAGTGCCTATATAAACAATGAAATTAAACAAGGTAATTTGAAGGTGTTGTCATTTGAAAGTAAGCAGGATTTGATCATAAATGCCCTGCGGAAAAAAGGATGCCAGGCTGGTGAAACCGAAGAGCTCAACAGACAAACACCAGACTTGTTGCTACAAGGCGCTGCTGAGAATGAGGGAATTCAGTCTAGCAGGGGGAAAAACTGTTACTGATCAGTGCTACAATGGGACAGAGTGAGATCAACAAATGAGGACATAGACTCATTGAGCTCTGCTTGGATAATCTTGTTCTATCCTTGCAAATGCTTTCTTTCACCATCACAGGATGGGAAAATAGAATTGTACGTCTTCTGATTAGCCGATTGATTGTATCATTGTGCAGAAATTGGAGAAAACTAGAGTTCTCATCCAAGAAAAACACCAGAAGGTCCAGACAGAAATTCAGATTACAATCTACCTCATTTAAAATTCAAGCTTCATCTCAAATGCAGCAAACAAACATCCAGCCACCCAGGAATATTTAGAAAACACCACAATGGGTGACAACTAGCTAAAGATTGGAAAGCACCTGAACTGAGGGCAAGAAGACCACTCGAAATACTGCTCTGAAGAAAAGTAAAAGCTGGTATGTATGTATTTTGTATATAACATCACTGAGAAGAGGTGGAAACCCAGGGGTCTCACATGAAGTATTTCTTCATGTCAGAAAATTCAGGCAGCATAAAGGAAGAAATTATTATAGTGAATCAAGCAGCAGGGAGTATGCAGCAGTGAACGCACACATTAAGAAGCTGATAAAGCACATCAGAGAGGCGAATATCAACAAGTACTCGAAAGACAGCAATTGCTGTGGCATTTGTGGTTCTGTACAGCTGAGCAGTTCACAAACCCAAATTGGATAAATCAGTTTAGAAAGTAGTAGGATCCTGGAAAAACTGGATGGATGAACAGTAAGAGCAGCAGGCAAAATGTTTTTTGCTTTATGCAAAGTCAACAAAATCCTCATCTGGATTATGTCTCAAATAAGAGGA